CCATTTTTTAATTGGGTTATGAGGTGTTTTTTGTTGTTGTTGTTTTATTTTTTGTTTTTTTATTTTATTTGTTTTTGCTATTGAATTGTAAGAATTTCTTATATATTTTGGAAATTGACCCTTTATCAAATAAATGGCTTGCAAATATTTTCTCCCATTTAATAGATTGCCTTTTCACTCTGTTGACTGCATCCTTTGCTTTACATAAACTTTTTAGTTTGATTTAGCCTTGTCTATTTTTGCTTTTGCTGCCCATACCTTTGGTATCATGTTCATGAAATCATTGCCAACATTAATGTCATAATGCTTTCCCCTGTTTTTTCTCCTAGAAGCTTCCTAGTTTCGGGTCTTACCTCTAAGTCTTTAATCCATTCATTTTGAGTTGATTTTTTGTTTATGCTGTAAGATAACAGTCCAGTTTCATTCTTTTGCATGTGGGTATTCAGTTTTCCCAACACAAGTCTTGGTACCCTTGTCAAAGATCAGTTGATCACATATGCATGAATTTGTTTCTGAACTCTGAATTCTGCACAGGCTATATGTCTGTCTTTATGCCAGTCGCATACTGTTTTAATTACTTTAGCTTTGTAATCTATTTTTAAATAAGGAAGTATGATGCTTCCAGCTTTGTTTTTCTTTATCAAAATTATTTTGGCCATGTGCAGTCTTCTGTGGTGCCATATAAATTTTAGAATTTTTTTCTATTTCTATAAGAAATACCATTTGTATTATCTGGTACCTCCAGTTTAGGTGTTTTTTTTTAAAGTTGTTTTATTACAGTTTACATTCAATACTATTGTGTATTATTTCAGGTGGACCGCACAGTGGTTAGACAATCAAACAATTCACAAAGTGCTCCCTCCAGTATTTCCAGTACTGACCTGGTATCATGCATAATTATTACAATATTATTGACTGTGCCCCCTATGCTGTACTTTAAATCCCCATGACTATTTTGTAAATACCAATTTGTAGTTCTTCATCCCCTCGCTTTTTTCACCCAACCTCTCAACCCCCCTCCCTTCTGGCAACCATCCATCTCTTCTCTGTATCTGTGAATCTGTTTTGGTGTTTGTTTGTTTTTTAGACTCCACATATAAGTGAAATCATATGCCATTGGGGTTTTGATAGACATTGATTGAATCCATAGATCACTTCGGGTAGTATGGACATTTTAACAGTATTAAGTCTTCCAATCCATGAACACAGGATGACTTTCCATTTTTGTGTGTCTTCCTTAATTTCTTTCATCAGTATTTTTAAAATATATTTTATTGATTTTTTACAGAGAGGAAGGGAGAGGGATAGAGAGTTAGAAACATCAATGAGAGAGAAACATCCATCAGCTGCCTCCTGCACACCTCCCACTGAAGATGTGCCCACAACCAAGGTACATGCCCTTGACCGGAATCGAACCTGGGGCCTCTCGGTCTATCCACTGAGCGAAACCGGTTAGGGCTTATCAGTATTTTTTAATGTACAAGTCTTTCACCATCTTAGTTGTTTATTCCTAAGAATTTTATTATTTTTATCCAATCGTAAATGGGATTGTTTTCCTAATTTTCTTTTCATATAGTTCATTGTTAATATATGGAAAGACTATAGATTTTTGTATGTAGGTTTTGTATTTTGCAACTTTACTGAATTTATTAGTTCTAACAGTTCTGTGGTGGAGTCTTTAGGGTTTTTTATATATAAGATCATGTCATCTGCAAACAAAGACATTTTTTCCTTCTTCCTTTCCTATTTGGATGCCTTTTATGCCTTTTTATTAGATAATTGTTCTGGCTAGAACTTCAAGTACTATATTGAATAGAAGTGGCATTGGCAAGAGTGTGCATCCTTTCCTTGTTCGTGATATTACAGGAAAAACTTTCTGCTTTTCACTGTTGAGTATAATGTTAGCTACGGCTTGTCATACATGGCATTGTTATGTTGAGGCAATTTCCTTTTATTCCTAGTTTATTGAGAGGTGTTTGTTGTTGTTTTTTTTTATCATGAAAGGATGTTGAATTGATTCAAACCCTTTTTATACATCTATTAAGATGATCACGAGGTTTTTATTCTTCATTCTGTTAATGTAGTGTATTACATTAATTGATTTTCATATGTTGAACCATCTTTGCATCCCTAGAATAAATCCCACTTGGTTATGACATAAATTATTTTTTTAATGTGCTGTTGAATTCTGCTAGCTAGTACTATGATGGCATTTTAGACAAAATGTTTATTTAATTAAAATATATACAATGTTTAACAAAATTAAAAAATTAACAATGAAATTGATGTCTCTCTTTTATCTCTGACCCACAGAGTCCCTGAGGGTCAGGGATAAGAGGGATAAGAAAGTTAAAAGAAAACTCAAACAAACAGCCATGGGTTGTTGTTCTTACTCATTTATTAACTAGCTCCTTGAACTCACTGGATCCCTTCCCCTTTTTCAGTCTTAGTTTCCCAATCTGTTGAATGATGAGAATATTAGGTTTTGTTTTGAAATAAATTTTTAGCCTAAAAAGCTAGTTGCTTTTGTAGTTATCACTACATGAAACTTAATTCATGAAAACAATGAAGACAAGACAAAACAAACAAAAACAAAGGGATATATATGACCCAAAGCAAGTTTTCCTCCTATCTGAAGCCTCAGCTCCCCAACCCTCCATAGTAAACTGCAGCTAACATTTATTTGGGTATCTTATCTTGACTTTTAAAATCATATCCAGGCATATGTACATATTTTCTTTGTTCTTTCTTCAAATGGGAAAATACAGGGACTTAATACAAGAAGAAGCAAAAAAGAATAGTGGGTCAATATAGTTCAATCTTGGGTTTATATCCGGGTTCTGTCACATACTAGCTGTTTGAACTTGGTCATCCTTCTGTGTATTTCAAATTCCTCCTCTATAATATTGGAATTATAATAGAGACTACCTCATAGAGTTGGATGTAAAGACTAAGCGAAATAATAAAGGGCCAGTACCAGTCAGTCACTCAGTAAGTGATCATTAAATGTGAGTTAGTCTACACCTTCTTTATTTCTTTGCATGTAAGGTATAAAGGATCTAGCCCCATGAGAAACTTTCCTAACTACCACCATTTTTTAGTGCCCATATAGTATTACTTTGAACCAAATTTATATAACCAGTCTCCTACTGGTGAACACTGAAATTGTTTTCAGCTTTTTACTATTAAAAACCTTACTGCAAAGAAAATCATTGTTCATAATAGATTTACACACAAATGTGAACATATTGTTAGGATAATTTTGGGGTAGAGGTTAAAGGGGATATGTACCTAAAATGTAGATCTGTGATGTATGAAAGTGCCAATTTCCTCACACCCACAAAAAATCTCTGAACTATTAATTTTGTTTTATATATTTACCACTGTAATATGTGAAAAACAGTATCTCATTCTGTTTTAATTTGTATATATTTAAGTATGATTAAAGCTAAGCATATTTTTCTGTTTATTAGCTATTTATACTTCTATAATAACTGCCTATTTATGTTCTTGACAATTGAGTGTTTTAAAAATTAGTTATTTAAAAATTATCTTAAATTAATCTCATTGTTTGGAAGCTTCTAGAGTTTTGACTCCAAATTAGAAAACAAAACAACAACAACAAAAACCAACCAACTGTCCTGCACTACCCATTTTGTGGAAGAGAAAATCAAGTCTCAAAGAATTTAAATGACTTACATATTGTTAGAGCTAGGTAAAGACAGAGTTGGCATTTTAATATCTGCTTGTTCTTTTTTTAATCGAAGCAGCCGCACTGTTTTTTTAAATAATACCACTTTTCATGCTTGCTTTGCTAATATATAGAAACACCCATAGTCATCTCCCTACCACTCTTTACTTTATCATAAGGCAGTCATATACTTTTAGTATGTAGAATGTCTTATTAACTTGGTTTTCCTATAAATATATAGAGTATTAATAAGTAAGTAATCCCACTAGAGTCACCACTAAATATTTCTAAGGAAAGTCTTTTCACAGAACACACTGGTTCCTATAATAGCATCTTCAGCACTTCCCCTAACTTGTCTCACAATGTTTATTTTGTTCCAGTGTTTCTTCATCTATCTTGTCTTCTTGGGAGATTAATATGCTCACATTGCATTCCATTAGTTTGTGTTCTGAAAATAAAATATTACTGAGTAATAGGGTCAATAGAATTGTTTTTATTAAAGTGAAATTTATCGGGATGTTAATTTCAAACTGATATGCATCTGTACAGGTCAGAAAAATCTGGAGGAAGATCATTGAAGAAAGGAGATTTGTATATAGGGTGGGGTGCAAAGGTGGTAACAAGACAGAATGCCCCTCCTTTTGTATTTGAAACTAAGCACTGCACATTGTCATCTGTGAATGGAATGAATACTGCTATTATTTGATTGCTTACTCTGTTCCAGGCACAGTGTTAAGATTTTTACATACATTATTTCATTTAATTCTCAATACACTTTGTAAGGTGAGTATTATTTTTTATATAAGAATAAATGATGTTCATTGAGCCTGAATAGTGCCCAAGGGCAAATAATTAGTAGTTAGTAGAGCCAAGATTCAAACCCAGGACTTCTGACAGTAAATTTCATATGCATTTCATTATGCTATCTCTAGACATAAAGCATATAGTCTTGAACTAAAAGCAACAGAAGACAATATGCTGATGCATGTGTGAACAATTGAAGATTTCAGAAATGAAATGACCAGCCTCCAATTTTAGAGTTCCTGCTAGAACATTGGAGAGTACATTCATTCATTAGATGAACGATGCCCTAGATAACCGTTTTTCCAAAACTTTTCTATAGGACACTGATTCTTTAGGCTAATGGGTGATTTTTTTTAAATGTTGATTTTATTAAAGTTGAAAGAGTTTACTTACTACAGTACTTCTCAGAGTGTTTATTGGGCTAATGTGCATTTTGACACTCGAAGACATGTGATATCATTCTGTGTTTTCCAATCTAATTTAACTTTCAATTTCCTTTTTAAAGGTCTTACGTGCTATGAAACATACTTTGGGAAATCCCGACTAATTGGAATCTCAAGTACCTCTAACTCCAAGTATTTATGATTTCATGATTCTATTATTGGCCATGAAGACCCAAGAGAAGGCTACTATGTGTATACATCCTTATCCTATGTTCTTGGCCTAATTAATCTGTAAGTGTTCTACTGTGTAAATTGTTAATTGAGTTCAAGGTGATAATTGCTGTGAAACTTCTTGGCAGAATTATTCATAGTTCAAGCATTAGCTGGAATGTTGAACTGGACCATAGGTTCCCAAATCTAGCTGATCATCAGATTGTACTTAACTACTTGTTATAAATGCAAATTTCTGGGCTCCACACCCAAGGATTCCAATTCTATATTTTGAGGGAAGGCTCTAGAAACAATTTTAACAAGTGCTTCAGGTGTTCTGAAGTATATGATTGGTCTACATGTGAACATTTGAAAATAACAATGTATAGAATCAAGAAAGCTGTGGGGATACTAAAGAGGAGTTCTCAAATTTGTCAATGTGCCAGATTTGAGAGTTCTACCCAAGACCTTGGAAACTAGAAGAGTGCATTTCATTATATTGTCATGTAAATATCGCTGTATGAAGAACTCTACAAACAAAGCTGATGTTACTGACAAAGATCTATACTTAGGGACCTCTGGTTTAAATAATTTCCATTCCTTTCTAGCCATGACATTCATTGATTTTATGAGTGTGGCCTGACTTCTCAAAATGTCTTTATTACATGAAGAGGAAGCATGGTGTCCAGGAAGAGGCCACTTATAGTCTCAACTGAATGCTATGCTATTAGACTAGAATGGGTGGGACACTGGGCTCAGATATGAACATCACTCTAAAAAAGCAGAGACAAACCAGAACACGGTCATAGGGGAAGTACTAAGATGATGAAGCTATTCAAACACATACTGCATGAAGAATGGTTGAAAGAACTGGGAATATTTAGCTTGGAGAGAATAATTGTGTGCAGGTAAGAATATTATCTTTAAACTAGATGACCAGTGCACGAAATTTATGCACAGGTAGGGTCCCTAGCGGCTGCCAGCTACTGGCCTGGGCCTTCCTTCATTCCATGCCACCCCCTGGTGGTTAGTGCATGTCATAGCAAAGAAGGAATATATATATTAGAGGAGGAAGTACTATGCTTGAACATCTATTATATCAAGGACTGTTCTAGACAAAATAAGCATTATTGACCCATTTTACAGATGAAGAAGTAGATCAAGAAAGGGTAAATTTTTCCCATGGTCATATGGATACTGCGGTAGTAATTAAGACTGTTTACAAATATTTCATTTAACCTCCTTCCAGATACAGAGTAGGATTGTACTTCTTAACCTTATTTGAAGCTAAGGATGGGAATGTGACCTCTGGGTAGAATTTTTTAAAGTCTCTATGTGATTCACCATATTCCCTTCTCCCTCTAGCAGTGATAACAAAAACATATGCAAAGCTGAAGCAGAGGTTCCCTACCAATATGGGTTGGATATGTGACATAAGTGAGAAATAAACCTTAAGCATCTATTTGACAGGTCTGGAGTATTTACTGTCTGCCACTTGGGTTCCAGTGCAAGAAAAAAGGTCCTCGCTCATGCTTTCTGTCTGTCTGATTGTGGCAGCCAAGATTGAGTGGGGGAATAAAAAATAAAAGAAAAAAAGAAATAAACCTTTCTTACTGGCCATGAAAACCCAAGAGATGACTGCTATACATACATACATATCCTTACTTTATGCTCATGTTCTAAGCTGTGGTTGTTTTTATAGTATAAATTTCTATTTCTCACAGGGACTTCAGAGTTATTGGTTACTATAGCATAACTCAGCCTATCTTGGCTGATACAGCTATAAGTAGAAGAGTCACAGTTAAACCTAGTCTATTCTGCTTCCAAAATCTGTAGTCTTTTCATTGTAATACAAGGCCTCCCCGATGACCAGTATAAGTTCTACTAGTATAGTAATGAAAGAAACTATCTCATTATCTTGTTAGTTCATTCATGCAAATATTTGACAATCAGTTGTGGGAGCTATTATAGATGGGATTGATAAATCAGATAGTAGAATAGTCTCTTCTCACTCTAATATTCTATGATTTCCTGATTTTGTAACAGGCTATAGAACGCAAGTGCAAAATTTGAGTGTGTGTGTGTGTGTGTGTGTGTGTGTTCTTTAATTTCCTCTTTTCTAGGCCTAAGGCATATCCACTCTATATGGATCTTTCTCTGTTCCATCTCAATTGGTCTTTATAAAAAAATTAAGATCTGATTTTTTTCCTAACAGCCATGAAATTTGGCACCAAGTCACAATTACCTATTAGCTTTTATTCCTAATGACTTCCCTGAGGAAAAGAAAGCATTTGCATTTCAGCTCATTCTTTTCTAGCACATAATGCATTCTTATGTTTATTTATAACTAGAGGCCCAGAGCACGATTAAATCGTGCGCGTGTAGGGTCCCCTAGGCCTAGCCTGCCATAAGGGCCATGTCCGCCACCCTGTGATGCCTCGCACACTCCATGGACACTGCCGGTGCCCCGCCCCGCCCTTTGCACTAGCTGCTGCTCTTTTGGTTGTGACGACATTAGGGCGTCATGACCACAGGCCTTTTATGATATAGATTGAGGGAGGGGTTGTACCTTCCTGTGGGTTCTCCAAGGTTAGTGCTCTCCCAAAATAATTTCTCTATTTTATGTTATAATGGAGATGAGGAATACATTTTGGCTTGAGACCTCCTCATCACTATAATCACTTTGTGCCATCATTGAAGCAGATATCACCTTAAGTGAGAGCTCACTGGAGCTACCATGTGATGAAAATCAATATTTATTAGATTCTTATCCTCCTATGATTTAAATATTCTTATTTTTATCTTTGTTATTACTCATGTAATTCATCCAACTGCAGCGACACTTCTAAAAGAAGTGAAAGGACTGTATCCACTTAACTTTACAAGAACATAAACCACAAAATTATAATACAAATTATTGGTGGCACCCTTGAAGATGGTTATAAAAATATAGAGCATGGAATGCCAGCAAACAAAGACTTATCCCTAGAATTTTGGGACCAACTCTGAAAACATCACTCTAAAACTGAACAAAAATCAATTGGACATAATTGGACATCTTCAAAATGATTTACCATAATGAATGGCATGTAAATATGGTATTATTAAGAAAAGATTACATCCTGCATCTCGGCCATAAAGATCTGAGTGTCTCTTAATCTAATTCAGAAACCAGATTGCCTTTCAATCCAGTTAAGGTCATCAGAGTACTATGTGTGTGTTCAGGAATGTATTTATGCCTCAGTCTAAGTATGTTCTATGAATTTGCTGGTAAAGATGCTCTGAGAAAAACAAATTACATGGTTAAGTTGCTAAATACCCACCCCCCATGGCTTCAAATGGCACATTAGCATATCAGAGGTATTGAAAAGACCTGCAGAAAAGACATCTCTTTAGCTTTCCCAAATGTATTTACTAATAGAACCTTCTTTTGTTTTAAACAATGCCTATTCAAACAGACCAAGGAAAACAATTTTGACAATTACTGTGTTAAAGAGAAAGTAAACTCTCTAAATATATCAAGTGTATTATAAATGTGGAAAAAGTGATAGGCTTGGCATGGAAATTCTTTGTTTTCCACTTGTGTTATTTTGAACCACTTATTGATGCTTTGCTCTAAGCCTCAGTTTCTTCTTCTATAAAATGGAAATAAAAACATTGAGTGAAATAAGGTATGCTAGTCCTAGGAAGGCAGTAGAGCTTAGTGGTTAAGGGCATAGATTCTGGAGCCACACCCCCTGGGTTTTAATCCTGGCTCCACAGCTACCTATGTGTGCAATATTGAGTAAGTTACTTCGACCTACTTTTTTGTCTGTTTTCTCATTTGCAAAAATGAGAATCATATCACTTACCAAAGAGGTTTGTTGTGAACATTGAATGGCATTTAAGTACTTCAAGTAAGCATTCCATTAAACATAAGCTATTATATTTTAGCTTAACCAAATACCTAAGTCAGTGTAACTCAATAAATGGTAATTAAATTTTAAGCAGAAGTAAACATGTTAGCAGAAGGGCTGGAGTCTGTAAAAAATTTAGCGGGGAGAAGTAAAGGAAGAATCCAAAGCAGGAATACTCCATATTTATCCAGTAAGTTTGTAGATGGTTACTTTGATCAATGTCCACAAAAATTCTTTTCCCCTTGACAGAGCAGCCCTCTAGCACACCAGTCTGTCACAGTTGAAGAGTATTATTAAAATTACCCAGCTTTTACCTTTTGGTTAGCTTCACATTTACCAAATAAGACTTTCCAAGAAACTAGTTCCTAAGGTGCGTTTAAATAATATTTGTAGTTGTATATTTCAAAAGAGATGTATTATGAAGAAACTCATAGTAAAAGTACATCCACAAAGGATGGCTTAAGTACATAAATTTCAAGAAGAGCTCCAAAACCAAAGAAAGATAAGAATGGAGAGATAATTGTACCAAGAAAAAGGAAAGATATAATTATTGTAATAGTGCACTAATTTTAGCTCTGGAGTCATTAAGATCTGAATTCCACTTACTTTTCAAAAGTCAGTCACTCCATTCCAGATTTTAATCACCAATCTTACACCTTTAGAATTATACTTGCCATTCATTCAAATCTTCTTCAATGGTCAGCATCCTTTGTTTCACAAAGTCCAGTATTTAAATCTTTAAATCCTCAATCCCTGCCTAATCATTTTTAAAAGGAACTATTATGCATTTTATGGTTTACACATGCACACACACAATTTTCCCCTTCTGTATATGCCAGTGGAGCTGATCTCTTCTGTTCTAGATTAGTGTGCCTGATTACTATTACTCTTAGATCTTCTCAACTCTCCCCAACCCACTATACTTCAAGGCAGCTTTTGAAATAGTTGACCACTTCATCCTCTCCTGTCTTGGCTTCTACATAAATGCTTTTTTTAAAATTTTCCTTCCTACTGATATCATTGTAATTTAACCTAATTATGAATAACTGGGAAGGAGCAAATAAAAGGCCAAATATTAGTCATTTGTGCAGCTTTGCCAGGAAGCTGCAGTTTAGACGCATGCCTAGTAAAGTCTGGGGTGACATAGGGAAGGTATTCGCATATCAGTCACACTTGGGAACAGGTCATTGGCCAGAGTAGATGTGGCCACTGCAAGCACAGGAAGATTTTAAAATATTTAATCTCCTATACAAAGGAGTTCACTCTCTTGATCTTGTTTCTTGTGCTCTTAATTAGTGCTCCTGGCTTGTGGGACTCTCACGCTCCTCCATTTGCCCACTGTCATGTGCACCCCTCACACAATTGACTAATGGACTGCAACTAGCCTAATGCTAGACCAGATCCAATTCCATAATGGATCGAAGACTTTGGACACAGGCTTTGCTTTTAGCTCTATTGAATCCCAGCTGCACATCTTCCAGGACTGGATTAAGGGAAATGGGACTTTGCAAACCAAGGGATGCAATTCCACACAAATAAAGCTTTCTACCACATCTCATCCTCCCATGTATGATTCTGAAAATGCTTATTCCAGTAGAACCCCACTCCCACTAGCAACAGGGAAAGACCATTTATGCATTTCTCCTATAGCATCATCTCATTAGTAGCTTCTCAGCCTATGTTAATTTCCTCTTCTCTTTCAGATCTCTAAATATTGGGTTTCTTCAGAATTCTGTTCTAGAATGATGGTTCCCCATCTCTCTAAGAGTAAAAGCCAAAGTACTAATTCTGGCCTACAAGATAACACATGATTTGGATTCTCCACTTCTTTTCTGACTAGGTAACCCCATTTTTATCCTCCTCTTTACATCACTTCTATTTGAAATATTAATTGCCACTATTGCCTCCACATTCTCTCTTCCCATTTTCTCTTGAATTGACTATAATCATGTTTTCATTTAAACCACACCACTCTATTTCACTCCACTGAATAGCTGTTGTCAAGTTCGCAAGTGACTTCCTAGTTGCCAAATATAAAGATCAATGTTTAGTCCTCCCCTTACCTGATCTGTCCACACATTTGAAAAGTTGATTGCTCTCTTCTTTGCAAGATACTGATTCACTTGATTCTAGGACACCACTATTTTTCTTTTGTTTTTTTTTGTTGTTGTTTGTTTGTTTGTTTGTTTTGGTTGTTTTTCTCCTACCTTAGTGGCCTTTATTGCTCTCTGCTTAGATCTTCCTGCTGACAACTAAACATTATAATGTCCTAGGGATTAGTCTTGGATTCATTTTTTTTCCTCTATGGAGAAGGTGGTCCTAGCCAGTAAATATTATCAATATACTGATGACTCCTACATTTTTATCTCTTTCCCAGAATTCTTACCTGAACTATAGATTTGTATACTTAATTGCCAACTATATGTTAAAAGGCATTTCAAACTTACCATGCCTAATATCAAACTACTGATACTCCATCCTGAAACGTGTTCCTCCTACAGTATTTGTCATTTCAGTAAATGGCAATGTTGTTGAGTTGTTTAAACCAAATGCTTTGGAATTAGCTTTGCCTCTCTTTTTATCCCACATCACATAACCAGCATTTCAGTAAATCTGGCCAGTTTTACCTTA